ATAAATAAATAAATAAATAAATAAATTCATTCTAAATTCCAATTCGATCATGGAATGAGGGCCACAGGTTTGTTAGCCACTGGCCATTAAGTACTACCCTCGTAAAACTTACAAAGGAGATATGTTTTTATCTGTCTTTGCTCCAAACCAATGCACTTGAGCTCGCAAATTAAGATGTTCAGATTTAAAAGCCGTAATCATATAATCAAATAAAACCTATCTTTTACTTACTTGGGCATATTGTCTACATTAGACACGGCTTCGATCTTCTGTCTCAGTTGTCTGATCTTTAATTGGCATTGATCCTTTTTGATGACTGCGTATTTGCCATTATTGCTTGACATTCCAGATATCTCTGTTGCCTTGCGAAATGATGCTGAGTACATGATACACATCATATGTTAGTAAGGTAATTGAACGATAATGAAGGGCACTAATGTTTGCGCATGTGCACGAGGACTATTCTTATTTGTTAATACTGAACTTGTAGCATGGGTATGAAAAATTATTCCTTGTGCGCATGCGTACCAGGATTCGTCACATTGGTGAATTGGTACCATGCTCTATTCTCTGATAAAGCACAGTAACAAGCTATTCTCTGAAAAATACCGAGAACAAACTAGCAATTCCTAAGCCCCGCACTAACTACCTTAAAACGGTTTTGGGTACAGTGGTGCGGTGCTATGGAACAGTCTGCCAAATGATCGGCAAAAGGCAAACACCCTAAGCAAATTTAGACAAGGTTACGTTAAGCTTATCACTTCTTAGAAGTAGCATTAATTTGCACAGCACTCATGGAAAGCACGTGTTTTTTTTTTTATAGTACATTATTTAATAGATTTAGCAGTTTTAAACTATAGTATAGATTTAGTATTAGTTTTAAGATTTGTTTATATAGTTTTTTTTTAAAAAATCCTGATGAATTTACCGTGGTTAAATAAATAAAGTTATCTTATCTTTTGAACCAATAAGAGCACACATAGCAAGGTTACTATTGAAGAAACAGAAAACGCTCACGTGTGCTGTTACACCACAAAACACTCAGGGATTGGCAGACCACATAAGCACGAAGTGATACGGAAGAAAGTTATTTTTACATCTTTTATAAAATACAAATTAGACTGACCGCCGAAATTTTAAATAAGAATGAGAAATACAAAGTGCGCGCGTGTGTGCTCTTATATAACATGCGCCATCAACCAATAAGAACGCGAGATTTGGAAAGTTATTTTATCAAACAATTTTACTTACTTGCCGCCTCGGCGCAAAAGCGTAAAGCTGACTTGTAATCACGAGAATTCTCTGCGTTTTGAGACTGTAGAACCATGTTATCACCTTGCTGTAAAAGGACTTCACATTCCTCCGAAGTCCGACCTAAACATTCAATTTATAATAAAAAAACATTATTAAAAGATTAGAAATCATAGTCTATACCAGAGAGTTTAAGATCGTTGTTTACGGCAAACGGCAAACGTCAAACGTCATATAACAATTGATTTCTCGTAAATTAGACAGTTTTATTGAAGTGGGGTACCAGTTAGTGTGTCCGCACAGTAAGACAGATGACTCTACTTTTATTGATCAGGTGTATATAACGGTTAAGACAGATGAACCTACTGTTGTTTATCAGGTGTATGTAACGGTTAAGACAGATGAACCTACTGTTGTTTATCAGGTGTATGTAACG